TGAAACCTCAAAAAATAAAACAATAAAATTATCAGTAAAAAAGGGGGGTTTTAAAACTACAGTTCCCTCCCTACTTATACATGGGTTACATTTTGGGCCCCTGTGCACATAAGTGAAATTGCGTAACATGGAGAACAACCCACTTTAATAGGGAGGAGAGAGAGAGAGAGAAGGGCAATATGCACCTTAAAGGCAAACATATTTATTGTAGCATAAACTTTCTAAAGGACTCAGGGCTTAATGGGCTTTGGTGACAGGAGGGTAGATTTTGATTTGATATTAGGAGACACTTATTGATGGTAAGAGCAGTTTGACAATAGAACCACATACTCAGAATGGGTGGTAGGGATGGGGGACAATCTCAATTCCATTCACATTTAAAAGTGGACCTACCTAATTCACCCTTCCCAACACAATACACAAACTGAAACACAGCCATTCTTCCAAATTTGGACTTTTCTGAATTTTGCGATGCAGTTATCTAGCCAAGTAACGTGTACAATGTGCTCAGGGCCTTGGCATTAAGCAATATATAGAATCATTTAATAATAATAATAATAATAATGACATTAATAATAATAATGACATTAATAATAATAATGACATTAATAATAATAATAATAATAATAATAATAACAACGACAATAACAACTTCAGAAGCAACTCTGGCTGAATTCTATGAGACTTACAGCACTCTTACCCATGCCTGCTCAGAAATAAGTCCTGTAGAATTCAGCTCCCAATGAAATGAGGTTAGGATTGCAGCAGAGGAATGGACCTGATTCTTACTTTTCCAAAATAGGCTGTGTTTCAACCACACAAATGTCAGTGGGTTCTATACACATACATGCCCATCCCTCCGTCTGGGCAGGCAAGAGGCATTGCCACAGTTCAAGGACACATTTCAGCCAGGCAAAGACACTTGAGGTGTGTGTGGAACAAACGTGTGGTCTGAGGGGGGGGCGGTATGAGGAGAGCCTGGGGGGCCACAAGTGGCCCCTGGGACGGATGTTCGTCACCCCTGCTTTTTTCCATCAAGAAACACAGCAGCTGAGAGGGGCTGCCAGAAGCCACAAGGGGCAGCCATTTCACAGGAAACTAACAACATTGCCACCAACTTGGGTGGTAATCTGGAGTCATCTTCACAATTTATGCATTCCACTGAAGTAATCTGGCAGCGAGGCTCCTTACACCCCTTTTCCCACCCCACCTGGTGCTTCTCAGCTCCTTTCCCCCTGTACCCCAGCATTTGTCTTGCTGCACCCCAGAGGCATCTGTCTCCCTCTCCCAAATTTCTCAGTGACAAGAAGTAAATTCTGTTTCCTTAAAACTATGCTCAGCTAATTGAACCGTTTAAGCCATGGGTAGGCAACCTAAGGCCCAGGGGCCGGATCTGGCCCAATCGCCTTCTAAATCTGGCCCGCGGACAGTCCAGGAATCAGCGTGTTTTTACATGAGTAGAATGTGTCCTTTTATTTAAAATGCATCTCTGGGTTATTTGTGGGGCATAGGAATCCGTTCATTTCTCCCCCCACCCGAATATAGTCTGGCCCCCCATATGGTCTGAAGGACAGTGGACTGACCCCCCCTGCTGAAAAAGTTTGCTGAACCCTGGTTTGAGCTTTCTGGTTGCAGGATGCATGTTTGGGGACCAGCAGAGTTTGCTAAGAATCTGCACCCTGATTTTAAGCGATTGACTCTGGACAACTTATCTGTCTCTGTTCGGCGGAGCCCAAGATATCACTTGAGAAGCCATGGGCCACTGATGTGATGTGACATGCCTCCTGGGCATCCTTCCTGCATCCAGGACTGCACTCCCCCTTGTTAAGGCATTTCCCTGTCGATGGTGCACATACTACACTGATAACTCTGCGAGTATCGAGGGGAATGAGTGGGCGGACGTTCCCTCCATCAGCTTAGATTGAGCAACAAACTACGGTACTCTGATTATGAAGCCAAGTCAGAAGCAGGAGTTACAGAAGGCCAGACGGGAATAAGAATCAAGGGGATCTCTAACGTTGTGTTTTATAAAGTGTATAAATTGTATCTTTTGAAATACTTTTTTTGGGGGGGGGAGTCTATCCTGCTGGGGCTCTACCGGCTTCTCAGATCCTGGTGGGCTTGAAATCTGCAGGAGCTCTGCTGGCCATATACACAGCAAGGCTTCTGCAGAGCAGCAGCGATCAAGCCAGGAATCCCCTCTGGTCATAAGCTGTCCTAGTGGTAGCGGAGGAGGTATCCGGGCTCTGCTGCTAGAATTTGGGGAGGGAGCATTAGCTCAGTGATAAAGCAGGCCTCTGGTTCAATTCCTGCTGTCTCTAATTGCAGACCCTCCAAGTGCCGAGGGACGCTCCCATATTTACAGAAGCCCTCCCGGTTTCTGGTTTGATCCTGGAACATCCTGCTTTTCCTTAAAGGTAAAGGTAAAGGACCCCTGACAGTTAAGTCCAGTTGCAGATGACTCTGGGGTTGCGGTGCTCATCTTGCTTTACAGGCCAAGGGAGCCAGCGTTTGTCCATAGTTTTTCCGGGTCATATAGCCAACATGACTAAGCCGCTTCTGGCAAAACCAGAGCAGCGCATGGAAGTGCCGTTTACCTTCCCGGGGGAGCGGTACCTATTTTTTGCATGCTTTCGAATTGTTAGGTTGGCAGGAGCAGGGACCAAGCAACAGGAGCTCACCCCGTCGCGGGGATTCGAACCGCTGACCTTCTGATCGGCAAGCCCAAGAGGCTCAGTGGTTTAGACCACAGCGCCACCCGCATCCCTGCTTTTCCTTAGGACTTCCCTGTTTCCATCAGAGAAATGTTTCAAGGTATGAAGTTATGCAATGCCCAATGTCAGCAGCATTTTAGCTGGCCCTAAGGAAGGCAATGCATTGCTGTGGGTGTTGACCAGCATGACCACTTGTTTTGTAATTAAAGGAGTGCTGCAATCCTGAACATGCTAATCCTAAACACCTTCCCTTGGAAGATTACGTTCTTCCCCTCACTGGAGGTTTTTCAGCAGATGTTGGAGGGCCATCTGACATCCATTTCTTCATTGCAGATGGTCAAACTAGATGACTCTTGGGGTCCCTTCCAACTCTCTAATTCAGGCATCCCCAAACTTGGCCCTCCAGATGTTTTGGGACTACAATTCCCACCATCCCTGACCAGTGCTCCTGTTAGCTAGGGATGATGGGAGTTGTAGTCCCAAAACATCTGGAGGGCTGAGTTTGGGGATGCCTGCTCTAATTCTATGATTCTATACTTATCTGAGAGTAAGACCCATTGGTGATAGTGGGACTTAATTCAGAGTAAACATGCCTAGGTTTGCACTGTAAATGCAACCCTCAACCTGTCTACTCAAGAGGTGAGACCTGCTGAATCTTAGCTTCCCCCAAGGCCATCTGCTTGCTGCTTATGCCCTCTGGCTCTAAGCCAGCCTTCTTCAACTCCATGCCTGACTTCTGCTGTTTTGGACTACAAATCCCATCATGCCAGCCACCATGAGACTGCACTAGCTGGGGCTGATGGGAGCAAGGTCATTCCAACCAATATGCAGATTGACCTGCAGCAGGGGCTGGGGGCAGAGAGCAGGCAAAGGCTGGCCACAGGATGGGAGTTGTATTCCCAAGAGCACAAGGCTGGGAAAGGCTGCCGTTCAGAGAAATCGCTCTCTAGCGCCGCAAACAACTGCTGACATCTGTTCCCTATTAGAGTGAACTTTTGCTCCTTTTTCTTATGGGTAAGCTTCGTCAAGTGGCCACGCCAGGTCTTGTGACAGGCGTCAATGCCAGCTAAGAACACTTTGCTCATGTTTTCGCCTCCCCTTGGACTGGAATCGTGGAGATGTCATCATAAACCGCCTCTTCATTTGTTTCTGCCAAAGACACCCAGCACCAAGGACCCAGATGTCTCAGAGAGGCTGTGGAGCAGCCTTGAGCAAGGATGAGGCACTGTTGAGTGCCTCAGCATCCCGGGGAGAGAGAAGCAGAAGGAGAAAGCCACTGTGACAGATGCCTGCTTCTGCTTTAGCTACCCTGGCTTCCCCCAACCTGGTCCCCTCAGATGTTTTAGACTACACCTGATCAGAGGCACTGTGCTTCTGAATTCCCATTGCTGGTGTTATAGCATTGGGGTTGGCTCTTACAGGCCAACTCTCCATCAAGGGATTCTACGTCTTCTACGTCCATGATGGGTCAGAGAAGGATGGATGGAGGCAGGATCCAGTGAGAGCAAGGCAGCTCTTAATTTTCCTGTTGCAAAGAAGGTCCCCCTGTCCTCTTTGATAGGAGCTGAGGACACAGAACACAGGTGTGCAAGAACTTTGTCAGACTTTCAGAATTGCCCAGCCAAAGACCACCCCAAAAGCATCATGCATGTGTCACAGAAAGAAGCAGTCTACAATGGAAATTTGAGAGTGTGGCTTGTCTCCTGTCTGTGGCAATGTTTTACTGATTGCATTACCTGGCCATGCTGGGTCAAGCTTTTGAGATGGTAAATACCTTAGTTCTAGACTCCTGATCACAGGCCTACCCTATTCAAACACAAAATATGTCCTTAAGACAGGATTTGAGGGATTTGTAAGGGAAAGAACTATTGGGAAAGGTTTCCCCAAGATATTTCCTTCTTCAGAGGAAATATTTGGGGTCGTTAGGAGAGGCAATATGGCTTTGGGATGGTCCTGTGTGCTAAAGTGTCTATTTATCAGGGAAATATTTCCTAATTCTGAAGGGTGAAGGATTGGTTTTCTGTGGAGTGCGGCCCGCTATGTGTGTACACCTTAAAATTGTATAACTCTGGAAGCCTTGAGAGGGAAGAGCGATTTTGTGCTCAGATCCTGCTTGCGGGCTTTTCAAATGGCATCTGGTTGGTGCCCCTGTGAGGATAGGATGCTGGATTAGATGGGTCACTGGCCTCATCCTGCAAGGCCTGCTTTTGTTTTTATAGAGCAGGCCTGACTCTACCATTAGGCAGAGTGAGGTGGCTCCTGAGGCTGCAGTCATTTTAAACATCTACCCAGGTAGCTCTGTTGGTTAGAGCATGGTGCTGATAATGCCAAGGTTGCAGGTTTGATCCCCACATGGGACAGCTGCATTTTCCTGCAAGGCAGGGGGTTGGACTAGATGACCCCCAGGGTCCCTTTCAACTCTACAATTTTATGATCTCACTGGGTGGAAGGAGTGCCCTCTGGGGTGGGGTGGGGGCAGGTGTACTGAGACCACCTGAATATTTCTGTTTGTACCTGGAAAGCCTGTGTGGGAAAATGCCTGGGTGCATTGAGAGGAGCCGAAAATTAACAGCCTTGCAAAAAAAGGGGGGGGAGCAGCTTGTAAGAGCAAATCATTTTAATCTCATCCTTGGAAGGCACAGATATTTGGATGACATTTGGAGTCCCTCCCAACCCCCCTCTTTCTTTCTCTCTTGTTGGCCGTAGCATAAAAATTTATCTACAAATAAATAATGGAATGGTCCAAAGCCAAATAAGAATGAAATGCTTTATGCTGCCTAGAGAGAAATGCATGACTCAATTATGCCTCTTATTAATAATGTATCTTTTGCACGCTTTCCGCGGTTATCTTGGGGGAGGTCTTTTATCTTCCCAAATAATGGCCACCGCCAAACAAAGAGCAAAAATCCAAACTGTACAGCCTGGAATCCTCCCAATCCTAGCCCAGGAGCTTTCAAAATGCGTTGTGGGGAGGTGGACTTCCAGCCAGCAAGAAAAACCCTATATTGCAGCCTGACAGTGGAGGCTGGTCTACTCAGGTGAGTAGCGCACTGGATCACCATCCTCAGTTTGCCCTGCAATCCCCACCTGCCTTCTTACTTACATCCAGTCCAGGGAGGTGGTCTGACTGTCATCTTCTTCTTCCTTAGCCTCGGAGTTGTCCATGTGGAGCTCAGCAGAGACCAGAGGTGTGTCGTCAGTGGACTAGGGGGTCTACGCCAGTCCCTTAAACATTCCCCTGGTGCCTCCTTCCCAAAGCCCATGAAGGTTCTGCCCAGTTTAGGGAGGGATGTGTGATGCTCCTACTGGTCCAAGAGCCCTCCCACTACCTGCCCAAAGCCCCCAAGATTTGGGGTGGACGCAGGAGGGCTCCAGCATCCCATCAGAGACCTGGCACCTTCTTCCCAAAGCCCAGCAAACCTCTGGCCAGCTTAGGGAGGGAAATGCAATACTCATGTGTGCAATGTTGGGGCATTGCAATGTGCAACATTGCCCACGCCCAATTGCCCTTGCAAGCTGGTGCCTCTGGCCCTAACTGTACCCCTATGAAAAATTTTGCCGCACGCCACCAGCAGGGACAAAGATGGGGACAAATCAGGCCACACTCCTGCCATACATGGGAAGCATGATGACACCACTTTAAACAGTCATGGCTTTCCCCCAAAGAATTCTGGGAGCTGTAGTTTGTCATGGATGCTGAGAGTCATTTGGCAGTGTGTCCCCATTCTCCTCGCCAGAGTTATAATTCCCAGGGTAGTTGAGCAACCAACTCCTCTTCACAGAGTGAGAGACTAGGGCAATGACAGCAGGTTCCCTATTTGGGGTCAAATTTTGTGGTGTGATCTGTGAGTTTGTTTGCACCCAGGGTGAGAGCCAGGAGGCTATTATTCTTATATATTAAATTTGCATACCACCCTTTATCTGTAGATTTCAGTGCGGTACGCAACATAAATTTATTGAGAGGTGTCGAGTGGGGAAGTGCGTCAGAGGAAGCAATTTGCCTCAGTTTTTATTTAGGGTACATAGTAAGCAGTGTAGAGGCGGTATAACAATAAATGAATAGTAAACTCATGAAGGCTAAGGCTACCGATGGCTATTAGCCGCAACAGCTATGTTCTGCTTCCACTACCTCTGAATCCCAGTTGCTGGGAACCACCAGTATATTGTGAACTGCCCGAGATCTTTTGATGCAGGGAGGTACAGTATATATCAATCTAATAAATAATAATAATGACTAAGTAGGAGGGAGCTGCACTTGCTCTTGGGCAGGGGTCAGCAAACTTTTTCAGCAGGGGGCCGGTCCACTGTCCCTCACACCTTGTGGAGGGCCGGACTATATTTTGGAAAAAAAATATGAATGAATTCCTATGCCCCAAATAACCCAGAGATGCATTTTAAATAAAAGCACACATTCTACGCATGTAAAAACACGCTGATTCCTGGACCGTCCGCAGGCCAGATTTAGAAGGCGTTTGGGCCTTAGTTTGCCTACCCATGCTCTTGGGTCTTGCTTGGGGGAGTCTGGTTGGCCACTGTGAGAGCAGAATGCTGGACTAAATAGGCCCGTGACCTGGCCCAGTTGGACTCTCCTAATGCGCTTATGGTTCTTAGCAATCCTGCTCACGTGTTGCTTATGTTTGTGTGAAAGCAGCCTTCTGGACCCAAGTATGCTCATGACGAATAAGTCAGGCTGCGGCTACCAGCTGAGCTGTAGGTGTCCCTCCTCCTCCTCCTTCCTCTTCTTCTTCCACCTCCTCCTCTCTTTTCCTCCATTCCACATGACTCTGCCCACCACCGATTGCCATCTGCCATCTGCCATCAGCTGCCAGTCAAGATTCCACCCCTCCCCACTCTGGGGATTTCTAATTTGCAGAATAGAATCCCATGGACTTTCTCTCGTCTTCTTGCGGACGGCCGTTTCCGGGTAGCGAGTCACTAATAAAGTTAACCTTATATAATCGGCATAAGCCGCTGGTCCAGACCTCAAGCCAGAAAAGCACGAAGCGGGGTGGGGGTGGGGGCAGGGGCAGACAATAGGAGGCTGTCTCCTGCCAGCAGTAACAAGGGACATCACTTAAACCCAATCTGATCTGGCAGTGGGGCAATCCTACAACTGTTCTCCGTTTTGACATTTTCACAAGCACACTCACAAATGGGAGGAAGAAGTACACATCTGCACTGTTGATTTAAAGTACAGCACATGGCTTTCCCAAAAGAATCTTGGGAACTGTAGTTAACCCTTTCAGAGCTACAATTCCCAGCACCCTGAACAAACTATCATTCCCAGGATTCTTGGAGATGTTTGCTTCAAGTGTGTGATTGGTATGCATCTTCCATATCTGGAGAAGGAGTTTCTAGGTTTGCATGGATTCATTGCTTTATGAGTTTGTGGGTGTCAGGCCCACCCAAATTCATGGATCTGGTAAGTGTTAGAATTTAATCAAGGCTCGGGGTGTTTAAGTGGATGCCAGACACTTAATTCCTGGACTTGGCAAGTGTATCAAGCCAGGCGAGCTTCCTGTGTTCAGATGATTGCCTGGGTGACGAACCATTAAGAGAACAAAGGAAATGTGAGGAGGCATTAAGAAAGCAATGGAGAGGAGGCTCTGTGCCAGATGGCAAATGGGTGGGCTCCCTCCTCCATAGACAGAGGGACACAAGTCGGAGTTTTAAAGCTGAGAGTTGGCTGTAATGTCACCTACAAGAAAAGCTGCAGGATGGAAAAGCCAGAGAGTCAGAGCACAATGTTCAATTTCTACCTGAATCCAAGGCTGTGACTATGGGAGAAACAAGACCCTCCAGCTCGTGAACCCCTCCATCGTAGGCTCAGATTGTATGCATGTGTGTGTGTGTGTGTGTGTGTGTGAATAAACCATATATCCTAAAGACACCACAGTCTCTGTTGTGCCTCATTCTCAAAAGGAAACACCTTATCTGGGAAAACACATTGAACCCCTGGAATCTTGCACCGTTGGAGGTTGGTGTGGTTTGCAACAGTATGTTTGCCAGAGTTGCTGCAAATCCTTTGACCTCTGCTTTGCTTTCTATGGGCTTCCTCCATGAGAGGTCTGGAGGGTGGCAACACGAGAATGGGCTTTTTCTGCGGTGGCTCCCCATTTAGGAGATGCTCTCCCCAGGTAAGCTCTCCTGGTGCCTTCATTACATATCTTTAGAAGCCAGGCAAAAACATCCCTCTTCTCTCAGGCCTTTGGCTAATTAATCTGTGGCCTTTTAAGCTGTGTGTGTGGTAGTATTGTTTTTGTTTGTTATTTATGATATATATGATATATATTTTTGTGTTTTTCTATTGTAAGCCACCCTGTGATCCATGGTTGATGGGCAGTATAGAAATTAAGTAAATAAATATAATATATAAATAAATAATACCCTAAAATGTTTAGCTGAACTCACTTGGGTTGTCCCTACTGGAGAGATTTGGAGTGCACAGGTCCAGACATCAGAAATATTCCTTATTCCCAAAGCAAGCCTCATTTTGATCTAGAAATTAATGGGATGGAAACTATTCGTGTAAATTAATAACCATCTCGCTATCCTAGGAAACGTGTACGAGTTTCTCTCCACCCTACCAATCTTCTAGTATCTTGGGACTTTTAGTACCTGGGTCAGTTCCCAAGACTTATTAAAGTATTTAGAGATAATTATTTTCACAGTGACATAGAAAGAAGCTGTAGACTGTAATTGCAATACTCGGAAATAGCCAGAGCTTTCGGTTTTTAAAAAACACACAAAGCTATTTGCTACCCTTTAATATCAAGGAAATCTTCTCTCTCTCTCTCTCTCTCTCTCTCTCTCTCTCTTTCTCTTTCTTTCCATCCATCCATCTCTCTATCTCCCCTCTGCTTAACATTCAGCCCAAGGAAGAATTCTGGTGAACCTGAAAGCTCATACTTTGTGCTTCTTTTTGTTAGTCCTAAGAAAACCATTGGCCCTATTGTGGAGTTTGGATCCCTCCCCCCTTTTGGGTCAATGGGGCTACCATTGCCTTTCGGGCTGCTCCAAACCACCTGTTTACTGAGCGTTCACCCTGTAAATTTTCAAGGAATTTCCCCTGTAACTTTCCAAACTGTAAATAGCCCCGGTCTTGCTAGTTTTTAAAGGGCATTTGTTGTGCCATTGAAACGAATGGACCTTAGTCATGTTTGTCTATTCCAGTGGGTCTCCTCTCAATAAGAGCGAGTCACATGCCACCCGCTCTTCAGACAAATGATTTCCCATGCCTTGCTCAGAACTGTGGACTGCAAGTCCCGCCGGCGCCACCTGCTGGGGATCCTTCAGCCCCCAGATGTTGCAGCTGCTGTTGCGCTCATGTCCTGCTTTTGGGCTTCCCATTGTCATCTGG